CCCCCCCGGCCTGCCCAGTTCCCATCACGGCTCCAACCCCAGCAGTGCCTGGGGCCATGGGACCCCGAGGCAGCACGAGAGGGGGACAAGCCAGCAGCAGGAGGAGGGACCCCATCCTTGTGTCCCCCCTCATCCCCACAGCTGGATCCCACAGGGCTCTCCCACCCCACCCCAAGCCATGTGCCCCTGTGGGTGCAGCACAACCCCCCACCCCAATATCCACTTTGAGCCTTTGCCAGAGAAACAGGAGCCAGGAGCGAGAAGCCATGGGTCCGGTCACCATCAGCCCCAGTCCTCACCTGCCCAGGGGCGTGGGGTGCCCAGCGCCCATGCGGAAGCAACTCGGGGTTGCAGACAAGCCGGGTCAGCCATATTTATTGAGAACGGTTGTGGAGGAATAAAAATATTTCCACTAGCTCTATAAGAATTTATAAACCTATACTCTGCTTATCCTTTAATAAATGCCTCTATGACCATCATGCAAAGGCAGGTACTTCTGTAAGAAAATAGCAAGATTAAAAAAAGGAAAGCGCTAATACACCCTGCCAGGGCCCTGCCCGTGGGGTCCCTGCCCGTGGGGGCCAAGGGACCCTCTGGCTGGCATGGGGACACGGGTGGCACATGCCAGACACTGCCCCAGCACCCTGCAGCACCCACCCCGAGCCTCAGCTAGATGCAGCCCCCATCAGCCGAGCCACCCAGACGCAAACCCCTCGCCCAGGGGTGAGCCCCCCCGGGGGAGCTCAGCTCAGGTGGCCCTGCTGGGGAGGGGACGCACACCCATGCCAGCGAGCTCCAAGTGATCCCACTGCTCCCAGTTCTACCTCCACCCTGCAGCCTCGCCATCCCCTTTCGTTTTTCCCTGTACCTGGCAGGGGAGCAGGGAGCTGGTGGGGGTTCGGGTCCATGCCCCCAGGGGTGCCCTGTGGCCGCTGGCCAGGAGGTGCAGGCCAGGGCTTGCCCCAGGGACACACAGCAGGGCTTTGCCAGGAAGCAACGCAGATGGGGACATCCTGGGGGGGACACAGGGACACGACAGTTCTCTATGGGAAAGCAACACGGCTGGGGTTGATGGGGACAGCCTGGGAGGGAGGGGACACACTGCAGTGCTCTGCAGGGCAGCAACAGCGATGGGGACATCACAGGGGAAGATGAGGACACACAGCAGCACTTTGCTGGGAAGCAACGTGGATGGGGACATCCTTAGGGGACACGTAGGGACAGACAGTGATGCTCTGCCAGGAAGCAGCAGGGACATCCTGGGGACACACAGGGATGCCACAGACAAGCAAGTGGCACCAGGGGCCAAAATGCCAGCGAGGGACGACGCTGTTGCCACGGGTTGGGAAGCACGGCGGGTGCAGAACAGTCGTTATTGCTTTACAGGGCCAACATCAA